ACATAAAGAACGTCATTTCGAAATGGAAAGTTATGCAGAAACTAATTTTCTTCGGGCACTTAATACTCGGTATATGTAAACATTAATTATAAAATTGGAACATTTACTTAACTTAAACTAAAGACAATAAAATAGCCACGCAATAGTCGCCGATATATCCACATAAATACATCCTATCAGAAAAAGACAAACATACCTGATTAACTGGTCACCTCTTTCCATGTAAATCTTACCAGTATGACTATTAAGACAAACAAATCTGCACTCATTCTAAATAGTTATTAACCGAACCAAATGTCTAGCTATCTACCTACATATTAACCCATCTACCTACAGGTCTTACTACCAAACAGCCAATTATCCACTTACGTACTTTAATACACATCAACAATACAACATCATAGCTGCCTAGCCACCGATCGAAACTGCCTTCCACCCTAGAATAGCTTTTGGGAAAATTATCAAATTCAATTGAAATGTAAGGCCTACTCATATCATTGTGGGAAAATTCAACTAACAGTCCCATTTTCCCCTTAATCGAAATAGGGTAAAAACATCTCATACATACGATCTAAGTATAGTCTCGAAAACCTCGCTTTTTTGAAGATATTTGTTACCTGGATATACCAGTTTCGACTGGTATATGAATTGAGTTGAAGATATACTCTATGCATTGAAATACAACTCTCAAAGCATTACAAATAGCTCCTTTCATCCATGATGTGATGCAGTGGAATGGTGAGCCAGGAAAGAATAAGTATACGAAAAAATAGGGGTTTGTAACAATTGCTTAAAAATTGAATATTATTGGACATATCAAATAATGGAAAATCCCATTAAGATAGAAAAATAAAGATACGATAATTAGGTAGGACTGCAGCAACCCATTATTTTTGGAGTAGTCTTTTGTGGATTTCGTTAAAAGTTGGCTTTATACTCTAAAAATGACTGTAACAGGAGAGACGAAGGAACAATATGGATATATTGGCGTCACTCAGCTATGCACTGAGGAATTCTTTACTGAAATCAACACCCTCAACTATAAAACAATTCTAAATTTAATATATGAAGACCAAGATGTTGTGGCCTCTGTTATGGTCGCAGTCTCCTTTCGATTTATAGAAGTGGGTTGACCTCGTTGTCGCAACTTGGTCTTGTGTTCAGGGCCTAGGTGCGTTCTACATAGTCTCCCTGAACACAAGACCAAGTTGCGATAACGAGGTCAACCCAATTCTACATTTAGTTTATGGCGAGACCCCTTTAATAATTATGTCGGTCAAAATTTAATCAGGAAATGCTTTAGAGTATATATACCACTTTTTAGGGATTTACCGGTGAGTTTTCTTGACTCGTTAGCTTGAATTTTTTGTGACGATGATGCTCGTCGTATGACGGACGAAAGCTTAGCACCTTTTCACCGGAATTGAAGGAGATTACCTCGGAAACAGCGTCAGCATGAATCT